AGAAACTTCCTGACAGTTAGAACAATTAACCAGTGGAACAACCTGCCTCCAGAAGTGGTGAATGCTCCAACACTGGAAGTTTTTAAGAAGAGACTGGACAGCCATTTGTCCGAAATGGTATAGGGTTTCCTGCCTGAGCAGGGGGTTGGACTAGATGACCTCCAAGGTCCCTTCCAACTTTATTATTATTATTATTATTGTTGTTGTTGTTGTTGTTATTATTATTATATAATACACATGTTGCCTCAGCTGATACAGACACAGCTTTCCCAAATTATGAATAAGGCTGTGGTGACATCAATCTTTGCTTTTAACTTTAGACTTCTGATAAACTGAAATTATATAAACTCCTATGAGAATTTTCAATTAATCTTAAAGCCAGTTAAATTACCTGAATCTATATGTTATTAGGCTAGTGACCTAATTGTTGTTGATTGTTGATCACTAGCCTAACAACATATAGATTCAGGTCCTTACATACTCAACGTGTAGTTCTCAATGGAACTACATCTACATAGAGGACAGTATACAGTGGGGTACCCGAAAGTTCTGTCTTAGGCCCAGCACTCTTCAATATCTTCATCAATGATTTAGATGAGGGGATAGAAGGGGTACTCATCAAATTTGTGGATGACACTAAGTTGGCAGGAATAGCCAACACTCCAGAAGATAGACTTAAGATAGCGAAGGATCTTGACAGACTTGAACATTGGGTGCTATCTAACAAAATGAAATTCAATGATGAAAAGAACATTCTCCATTTAGGCAAGAAAACCTAATGAACAGGTATAGTATAGGTCAGTGGTGGCGAACCTATGGCACGCGTGCCAGAGGCAACACTCGGAGCCCTCTCTGTGGGCACACGCACCATCGCCCCAGCCCTGCCTCCCCCACGGCCCCCTCCTCACTAGCATCCCCCTGGAGAAGAGTCGCCCCACGGCGCGGCCCGCATGGAGAAGCGCAGCCAAGGACATAGCCGGGCAGCAGGGACAAGGCTCCACCCTCACGTCCTTTAGCATGCAGATGATGCTGCGGGATGTGGGCGGAGGGCGTGGCTGCCATGGCACTGCAGGGAGGCAGTGTGTGGCCCTGCGGGCAGGCGGGGCAGGCAGGGTGGGAGGCAGAGCGGGGACAGGGGAGGTTTTTGGGCACTCGGTCTCTAAAAGGTTCGCCATCACTGGTATAGGTAGTATCTGGCTCAATAGTGGTAGTAACTGTGAGAGGGATCTTGGACAAACAAATATGAGCCTGCAGTGTGCATCAGTCACCAAAAAGGCCAACACAGTGCTAGGCTGCATTAACAGAGGGATAGAATCAAGATCATGTGAAGTGTTAATACCAGTTTATAATGGCCTGGTAAGGCCGCACTTGAAATACTGTTGGCAGTGAAATATACTATTCTATCCAAAGTTTTGAATAAAAAAAGTCTGGATTCAAAATGTGAATGTGAAAATGAACTCTTTCTGTGGTTTTATCTCTATGTCTGTAGCATGCTTGGACATCCTCTACCAAGTAAAATCCATTGCCCAGGCCTCAAAACCTACCAAGCTACAAATTCTGGGGCAAACTTTGACCTTTCTTTCTTTGACAGCTTAAAACTATCAAAATATTTCCTCTTGGAGAAATAATGCACCTATTTGTTTTTGTTTTTTTAAAAAAACAATCTCAAACCTTTATTTCTTTTCTCTCTTTTTTTTTTTTTTAAAAAAAATCTCAAATGTTGCCTTTGTCCTTTCTACTTACATTGCCACATGAAAGGTCGTACCCCTTAGAAGCTGGACACTTTTACAAATACACTAACTCTTTAAGATTTTCAAATAGGATATACAGGTAGTCTTTGACTTAAAACCATTTGTTTAGTAACCCAGTGGTCCCCAAGCCCGGTCTGTGGACCAGTACCGG